GTAAGGCAGACGGGCTGGGAAAAGAGAAATTTTGGCAAACGTAATGCCTTGCTTTTTAATTTTGGGAGGTCCCCAGAGAGCTCTTAAATTTACATTAATAACTGATAGTTCACTAGGGGATCATTAACAGGGGTTAAGTTGACAAGAACCAGGGCAGGACTCACCATGCATTGCTTAAAATGCCAATTATATCTTGTGGTAATGGGTCCCATGGATTAAAAAGATCATATTTTCCTTCACATATTTTTACTGATTTTCAGTTCTTTTGCTTTTGGGATTACAAGGGGGTGGGCAAAATGATCCCATTAGCAGGTTGCAAGTGTGAAATAGTTTCAAGCTCAGCTGTGCTTGTGGATGCCTTTTAGTTCAATCAAGATTTTTCTTGATTAAGTTAGACTGTTAGCTTCTGCTTCAGTGCTGAAAACTGTGCACCGTGTTGCCCACTGTGCATCTTCAGGCATGACCCACCAGAGGATGTGTTCCTCAAAGGACACACTTAAAAGAGGCGATACGGAGCAGGACAGGAGACTATTATGTATGCTAGGATATCTGTGCACTGGAAATAACTGGTTGATACTCAGATGTTGCTCTTGGATATGGAGACAGATCATCCCTGATGTCATCTGTTGATTTGTTGTCTTGTCTTTACATGACAGTTGACTTGGATTAATGTTGACTGTGCATGTAAAGTGCACTAGCTGCTCCTGAATAATCCTTCTTTGGGCATGTTCCTCCACTTTTTCTTTTTTTTTTTTTCTCAAATAAAGGTACTTCATTCTGTTTTATTTCCACTTGCCTTCAGAGTAAATTGTCTGCCTGGTCTTGGAATGGTCTGGGGAAATTCCTCCTGAGGAACTATCTCAGAATAATTCATATGTAGACCAGACTTCCGCTCTGTCCCCATGTCTGTGGATGTGAGCTGGTTTTGCTGGGAGAGCAGATAGGGTGAAAGTGCAGTAACGTGGAGAGGCACGGGGCTTTGAGGCGAAGTGCGCTTCTGTGAAGTACAGCGCTCTTCCTTGGGGGCACTGGCATGTTTGCAGATGTAGCAGGTGGTACTCGGCACTTGATGGGTTTTGGGGGCCGTAAGTAAAAACCAATCCAGCCTTCTAAATGACATGCATAGGGTTGTTTTCCCAAGCGTCAGACATCCCAATGCGTATCAACACATTGGGAGGCACAGTTACCTTTTTAAAATATTCACATTTTCTTAAAGTGTTCATAGCTCAACATCAGCATCCCATTAATGTATGAGATCACTCTGTACTGACGCTGTCACACAAATTCAAGCTTTTTAAATGTAAGATGGTGTGACTTACATCAAATATCTATAAATCCTAACGTACCCCTCCGTATACAGCAACACCACTGCAGTCTCCTGGTATATTCATGCACCTGACACTGCTCTGCTAAGTGCGTACTTTACTACCTGCCACTGTGTGCCAAGTGGTGTTTAATAACTGTGAACCTGAGTAACTACAGGTGCCTCAATAGCCTGTTCACCTGTGCAGGTTCATCCCGATCCTGTAATCTGTCTGTACAACTGGCAGAGGATCTTAGCGAAAGCCAGAGTCACAGGAATAATTCTTTGGTGGACTGCTTCTCACAAATGAGTGGTTTTTATTTCCAGCTTGGGCTAGTGCACTTTCAAGTCCAGGGAAAGACAACAATTGATTGTTGCAGGTTCTGGAGCAGGCTTCTGGCTACCAGTGTGCTTAATTTAAAAGTAATGTGTATCTATTGGTGAATGCCCCTAAACAGATTAAGAAAGTACAATTGATTCAAGACTGACTATAGATGAACCTAAAAGGCAAAATTGATTTGTTTAGTCTATTTTAATTTTCTTAGAAGGGGGAAACAAAAAAAAAGAAAAAATTGCCCCAAACCTAGTGGCAAAAATAGTACAAAGTAAACACAACTTTAAAAAATGCATTCCTAGCGTTGGAACGCAGTTGTTCCTAAGGGCACTGGAGCCACTGTGGCACTGATTCCCGTGTTGTCTGTGTCTGGCCCATGGTCAGAACAAAAGTAATAGAGGTCATCTCTGACTGGAGTTTACTGCAGGTGCAGCTTCTCCTGCTTCTCCTTTCTATTCATTTCATTTGTTTGTCTTTAAGAGAAGAAGCCGTGTATGTGTTTGGTAGATAACGGCTGAGCTAAATACGTACGTCTATATGTATGTGTCTATCTGTGTCTGTGAAGCTAGCAGTACTGTAGTGCTTCCTTTTTAGCACGATGACTTTATCCCTTCTGGAGTCACTACAGCACGCTCAGCAGGTTTAAGTGAAATGATGTGGTTTATAGGGGTGCAATGAATAAGGATTCTGCGGGTCAGGGGAAAGGGGGAGCCTGTTGCACTGAGACCACTCACCGTGCTCCTGGTCTGCTGGGTTTCTCGAGGTTTAGTGCTTCCCTTTTTGTTGCACTCTCACTCTTGTTAGGGCTGATGAGTCCCTGGGCAGTCACTGAGACCTGGTAACTGCTCGAAGGTACCATAATGGCCATAAAATGATTTTTATTATCTGATCAACACCGTTCTCTTTAGCTTGCAAAGTCACAGCAGAAAGCAAATTGCAATTACTTTGCAGCGGAAATTTGCACACCCTTCCTCTCCTCCCACTTTAATTGTTATGATAAATTGCAACTTCAGAAAAATACATAAAGCTTTGGGATGATAAAGGCCATGCAGATATCAGGTCCTGTCCCTCCAGCACGAGGGAGATGTGGTGCAAATACCTCCTCTTTGCTTTTTTCTTCTCGCCCCCACCTTTTCCCTTTAAACCCTCTTTCTCCCCACAGTCTCCTTTTGGCACTGTGCAAGCCAAAGTTTCAAAGACAGCTTTAGACAGCTTCATCTGCACATTCTCTCTATGCAGTGGAGCAGGAAAGGGGGCAGGGGTGGAAATGCACCTAGCATACGAAAGTATTTAGGAGTGAGAGAGACACAATTCGTATCACGTGTTCTCCAGGCCATAGACAGTGAAAAACTTCTTTGCAAAGGGCCACGTGAGTTGATCTCTGCTAGTGCGGAAGGGGGCCTGTAGGGCTGAGGGAAAGCAGTCAGTGTCTGTAACGTGGATGTAGTTGGCCCCAGGTAGGTCTCTGAGCATCCCTAGCAATATTCCCAGTAAGGTTATTCTCTTGTGTCTGAGTTGGGGTGTCGGGACTCAGTCCAAAGCCTGTTGCTTTCCTCAGTTCTGCGCTTGGGATACTCAGAGTTGTAGAAGCGTTCACCTTGTTGCTGTCATATCAAGGATGCACGTTTCTTCTTCGCACCTCTCAAGAACAATGTGCATGAAACCTCATGAACAACATGTTTGCTCAGAGTATTTTTTTTCCTTGTATACATGAATTTTTTCATTTTTAGGCCAGTTTGGCCGACTGCTCTTCTCTCCCTGGGTGTCTGCTGTTCACAGGCAGCTGTGTTCTTGGCTTGGAAATGCACCAGAATGGGAAGGCTAATGTGCCTCCTTGGGGTGATGCCTTCCAGATGGATTTAGCTAATTATCACAACGATTAGGGCTCCCCTTAATGACCACAACTGGAAATTTATCGACAGAGGTAAACAAGAAGTTTTCATTTTGTCTTTGTGGAAAGTTCTTCATTTGTTTAATTAAAAAAACATGGGTTCTTCTATCACTTAGTATTGCTCAGTTCTCCCCTGCAGGGAGTCTGACTGGCTTTCCCAGAGCGTTTTCAGATTGCCAGGTTTATTTGGAAAGTTGGAGTCGGTGTTTCAGAGAAATTGTTATTATTTAAATGTTGCTCTGCACTTATTTGACCTGTCTCACACACTTTTCTCCTTTTTCTTCCAATCTTTGCTAAAAACATGTTTCTTTTCTATGACTTGTCCATTTGAAGAAAATATGCCTACATGTCTGTATGGAGCTGCATAAGCTAAAGGGTGCATAAAGCTGTGTGCTGCACTTCCCCTCACTGTGATTCCCTTTCCAGTTTCGTGTTTTTGTTTGCTAAAACTTTAAATCCTGTGGGGCAGTGACACAGCAGTCTCTTTCTCCGAGTTTCTAATGTATGTCTTCCATTGCAAGCGCTCCTGTTATGACTCTCTGTCTTGGTCAATCACAGATTAAGCTAAACAACCCCAGGGCTAGAAACACGTTCTAGCACAGTAAAAACTAAAAAAAGCAAGGCTCTCTAGTTCAGACTACATTAGAGTCCTATCTTCTTCTCAATCAGGTGCAAAAGGTGCAGGGACAGCGTAATCTATAATCCATTTTGACTACTTACAGAAGACTGGAGGTTGGGGCCGGGGCTGTGTTGTGCTAGGTTCTGTACACAAATACACAAATGGTGAAAAAGTAGCTTTTTCCCCGAGAGTTTTTCTCCTGTTTATTTACGTCTTGTCGGAAGTGGATTGTTGAGGGAAGTACACTGCCAGGACCACCTAGGGAAAGTTTGCACAAGGTGAAACCTGCCAGATTCATCTGAACATGCAAATGGACAGTAAAAAGTAGCCTCTAATTCAAGTTTAAATTGATTTGGTACCGGTACTGTTCACCGGTACTGGAGATAAACCTGCTGCTGGCTCACATAGGCAGTTTTCCCTTTGCAGGCGAAAGTGTTCTGGATTATCTGGGTCAGGTCTTCATGGAGCTACTGCCAAAGATTGAGGTTCACCTATTCTGCTATGTTTATGTAAAACACTTGGGAATAAATGTCCTGGAGAAAGAAGCTGGCACACGTTGGCATGGTTGAGACCCAAACCAGGAGTAAGGAGGTGGGCAGAACCTGGAAATCCATGACTTGAATGTTAGAACTGCAAGAACTAGATGCAGATATTGGCTGTGCTGAAAAGACTTTTGCAAAGGGCTTTGCTCATCCAACATGTCTGCTGGAAATCTGCAGTGACTAACAGCATTGTCTTCTCAGGGCAGCCATTTGAGAGGAACTTCTTGGTTTTGGGTTGCCTAACCAAATTCTTCTTTTCTTCTCTTTCTGTCCTGCCCTCTTCCCTTCCAACTAATTCCTCCCTGTGCCAGAACCGGGGTCGCCTGGCGGAGAAGAGGACAATCCCCCTGCCTCCCACCAGGATCCCGAAGAAAGAGCTTACCTCAATTTTCTCGCATAGTGATGACAGCGAAGAGAGTGACAAGGGCAATGGTCAACACCCTGAAGTGAAGCAGGAGGAGGATCTCCATATCAGTATCATGAAAAGAAGGTACTTTTCTGCCTGGAAGCGCTTGCATTGCGAGAACAAAGACAGAGAATGCTGGGCAGCCCGTGATCAGCCCCCGTGGGCCACTTCTGCCTGGGCTGCCCACAAAGAGTTATCTCCAGGGTCAGAAGTTAAGCGTGAGTGTCCCATTATAATTCAGGAAGAGTGGCTGGGTCTTCTCTTGTGCTTACTCCCTCCTGTTTGGGGGTGAGTAGAGCTCTGTGAGGCCTTGTACCATGGGCTTTGCATTTGCATTAGAGGTTCTCTAGACTTGCAGACTGCAAATTTCATTTCACCCTCTGCCCAGTGTTCTGTATCTTTGTGCCTGGTGAGGCCAATGAATTACATGACCAAGAAGTTTTCTCTGGCCTTTTGCACAGCCAGTTGAAAATACACTGAGGTGTACGGGTTGAAGGTCCTGCCTTTTGCTCTCATTTGTCCCCAAATTCTGATGTAATAGAAACTCGATAATTTAACGATGGTGAACAAAGTTTTGAAAGGAGGTGGCGATAACAGCGGTTGTTATATGTTCTTGATTGCAAGTGTCGAAGACCACAGCCATGTCTCATAGAACAAATGGAACCAGACTTGGCCCCCTAAGAGCACCTCTGTAGTGTAAAAGTAGTTGTAATGGAGTTGCAGTAGGCAAAAATTCACTCAAATATTGGGGGTTACCTCAGTATGTACATATTTTGAGCACGTCTTTCTCGGTACCATATTCATTCTTCCTGGAACTCCTGCAGGGTTAAAGGAGGAGGAGAAGGGATTGTCTTCAGTTACATGCTGGTAACTGTCACTTGGGCTCCCATTATAAGGTCTCAGTGCCTGTAATATTTGCCTGGAAAATTTGGTATTTTTTCATCCCTCTGAAGATATACGATGTTTATAAGACCTATAACTGCAGGGAAAATAAATACCTATAGGTGCTGTGTCTCAGCCTCCCATGCATATCATGGCAACTCACCTTGATTGTCATCTTTCTCTGATGCATAAAATCACTCAGGTTCTAAGACAAGCCCTATAAAAACAGAGGAGTGGAAACTGAAGGCATGTAATTGCTTTTCTTATGTTTTATGAGTTTCTTGCTCCAGAGCAGATAAGCTATTTCCCTGCTGCCTTCAAGCAGATGCTAGTACATTTAGCAACTGAGAGCCTGAAAGTAGGGAGGCAAAACAGTAGCCAGCTCTTCAGGTGAAACCCGCCTGTAAAGCCTGCGTTCACCACTGCGGCTGTCCGATGGCTGTGCTCATGGGTTGTCACTTGGGAATGAAAAGGTGTTTGGGGAATGTGTCTGCACTGTGCATGCACTCGGGAGCCACAGAGGGGAGGGAACCCTCCTAACCATTCCTGGAAAGCTGCCCTCCTTCTCCTGCCCCCTTTAATTATACGTCTAATTCTGTAAAATTACAGTGCTAGATTTTCTCATTAGGAGTGAGAGCAACATAATAAATATTTAATTGGTATGCTGGGCCCCCAAAATATAAAGTGCTCTTATGTTAAATCTTTAATTATTGTAATTGCTTTGCCTTTTTTATTAGGAAATGGAGGAAAACAAACTTAATAGTTACTAGCCCATGGTCCCCCAGCTTATCCTTTCTGTGCTCTTCACTACTTTTTAATCAGTTTGTCCGAAGATCTCTTGCTTAAGCATGGTCTAGATTCCTTCAAGGAGTGCATGATTCCTACCAGGTAGGTTAGAGTCTCACTGCTTTTGTAGAATTCTCCATCTTGTTTTTCTGGGAGCTCTGACACAGCGTAGGGGAAGAGCTAGAGTAGCTGAGGCAAGCGGATCAGTCACCATGCTAACGAGAGCAGTAATAGCAGGAAAAAAGAGAGCACGTAACTTCAGTGCTTGCAGTCCTGGCAGGAAATACTGCTCAAATCCCTCAGCATTTCAAAGCATTGCAAATATATTGTCCCCCCAAATCGTCACCTTCCTGCCCCAAAGAGGGGGGTGACCAGCCCATTTCCACCTGTTCAAGAGCAATGAGCAGAAAGCAACCTGATGCCACTCTTGTGTGGCCTTGCTGGAGGGAACAGGCTCCGGCTCTGTTCTTGCTGTCATTTGTGGCCTGGAGACGGGGGTGGAAGGTGCGACAAGGCTGGCTCCGGAGACCGCAGCAGCAGCAGCATCATAAAGGCTAGACAGCTCGCAGACATGACAGCTGGGGCCCGGCAGAGGCAGTGCCCCATCTGCTTTCTGTTTTTAATTCACCTGTTGTATCCTCCCTGAGCGGTGTTGGATTGGACTGAGGTTTTATTGCCTCCCACTGAGAGGAAGAAATAGGTTAAACTGTGAGATGGTAGGAAAACAAGGTCAGGGGCTGAGCAAACCTGTGTTTTTCTCTTGTACCCCAGGATGGCCATTGTGCGCACCTCTGTGCACTTACCATTGCAAACAGGTGCAGTAGCGTTTTGAAAATGTTTACCTCTTTTTCTCCCATTCCCAATTTTCTTTATATCAACTGTTTCCTTCCATCATTGGCACAAGGGGATACTTGCTGCAGCCTTGAGGTCTGGACATTACTAAAGAAAAGGCTCTAAGGATTAGGACAGGGGCTTGAAGCTTAGTTTCTTGGCTAGTCTCTTAAACTAGCCTTTGCCACTGATTTGCTCTGTGATCTTCAGCAACGGCCCGTGGTGATGACCTTCAGAGGAGGTCTGAGGTAAAGAAAACCTGCCTCATGATGTTCTCGCGGTTCCAGAGAGGAACAGAGAGCCTGTAGCTACCTCTGAAATTAGTTCATTCCATTGAATGCCATCTTATTTCACAACCGAGTCCTTCTAAAACTGTGCTTACTTTGCTGGCTTGCACATGTGTAATTAAGTCAAGGAAACCAAGCCTTGCACTAGAATGAGCCTAGCTTATCTGCCTTGAGATCCAGGTTACCCAGGCTTAAAGGTGAATGTTTCTCATCTTATAGTGAGACCCTTTGAGTCCTCTTTAGCCTGCTTTGCAGAGTGTGCTAAATAGCCTTTGTGTTATGCCCCCTGTCTGGAAGACAGGGGCTTAAAATCTTGTCTCATATAACCAGTGGCATCTGCTGAGCTTGATACTGTTGCTTGATACCCAGACTGTAAGTGCTCAGGGAAGAAGCTCTGAAGATTACTGGGACAGTGCTGCAGAGAAAAACCCTTTTTCTTTTGATCGCATTTCTGGTTCCTGAAAAGCTTGCTCTTTTACAGCCTTGCCTACATGCAACAGTTGCATTGCCTTAATTGCGATGGTTAGATTAAAGTAGCACTGGTTCCTGGTGAGGATGCTTGTATGGCTATAAAGATAATTTTTCCTATATGGGCAAACAAATGATATCAGTATAGGGTATTTTTGTATACTAATAGCAGTATAGGACATTTCTGTACTGATGCAGCTAGGTCCCTTCTAGGGCTTTTGCCTCTATAATTATTTTAGTGAAAATGATACTGGCATAGTTGAACTGGTATGAAAACTACGTAGATTAGGCTTAAATTGATTGACTGATTAAAGTGTGATTGGGGCACATAGTCTAGTGGAAGGCCTGTAGCTAGTGGTGTCCCCCAGGAGTCAATACTGAGTCCAATCCTGTTCAACTTATTCATCAGTGACTTGGATGAAGGGACAGAGTGCACGTCAGCAAGTTTGCTGGTGATACTAAACTGGGAGGAGTGGCTGACACTCCAGAGGGCTGTGCTGCCATTCAGAGGGACCTGGACAGACTGGAGAGCTGGGTGGAGAGGAACCTCCTGAAGTTCACTAAAGGGAAGCGTGGAGTCCTGCACCTGGGGAGGAATATAACCCCGTACACCAGCACAGGCTGAGGGCTGACCTGCTGGAAAGCAGTTCTGCAGAGAAGGACCTGGGAGTGCTGGTGAACAGCAAGTTAAGCATGAGGCAGCAACGTGCCCTTGTGGCCAAGAAGGCCAGCGGGATCCTGGGGTGCATTAGGCAGAGTGTTGCCAGCAGGTCGAGAGAGGTGATCCTGCCCCTCTCCTCAGCCCTGGGGAGGCCTCACCTGGAGTAGCGTGTCCAGTGTTGGGCTCCTCAGCGTAAGAGAGAGATGGAGCTACTGGAGTGAGTCCAGCGGAGGGCTACAAAGATGATGGAGGGACTGGAGCGTGTCTCGTATGAGGAAAGGCTGGGAGAACTGGGACTGTTCAGCCTGGAGAAGACTGAGGAGGGATCTTATGAATGTGTTTAAATATCGGAACTGAGAGCGTAAAGAGGACGGGGCCAGACTCTTTTCAGTGGTGTCCAGTGATAGGATGAGAGACAACAGGCACAAAATGAAACCCAGGAAGTCCTGTCTGAGCGTAAGGAAAAACCTTTTTGATTTGAGGGTGACAGAGCACTGGAACAGGTTGTCCACAGAGGTTGTGGAGTCTCCATTCTTAGAGATATTCAAAAGCCATCTGGGCAGAGTCCTGGGAAACTGGCCCTAGGTGACTGTGCTTGAGCAGAGGTGTTGGCCTAGATGATTTCCAGAGGTCCCTTCCAACCTCAACCATTCTGAGATTTCTGTGAAATTAGAAACTTTGGCTTCATGAAGCTGTTTTCATTTCTGGCAGGCTATTGACTAAGCTGCCTCTCCCCAGCACACTAAAACTTACACCAGTCTGCTTTCTGATTACCCCTCTCTGGATTATCCTAGACCCAAAGTAAAGTAATGCAGAAGGAGTTTGAGACTGCCGATTCCATTGCACTGCAATAGTTTGGGGAGTGAAACTTTGTTAGACTCAGTGGAAGATTCCAACCGAGGATATTGAGAAACTTATCACCTCGGCAAAAGCCTGCAAGCCTTTTTGCGTTTCGCACTGTCTTCTTGTCCCTGTTCATACAGCCCTGTGCAACCAGAGCGTGAATAGAGAGTCCAGACAGGGGCGAGTTGCTCTCCCCTGTCCCCCAGCGTCCCGCACCCCGCAGACTGGCCTCACAGCATTCTTACTCAGTGTCCATTTTCTAATAGTGAAATTACAGACCTCCACTAAGGCTTAATGGCTAGCGGCTGTCAGCCTTTCCATTGCCT